GTGTCCTCCCGTTACCCTAAGGAGAACTATGGGGAAAAGACTTAACCCCATAGTTCTCCTTTAACAGTTTTTGTGATTTCCTTATATATGTTACGTGAGAATGCATTTGACAAATAGAAGGTCACAACATTTAGCCAACAAAGGGAATTGGGATGCACAGTCACAGAGCTCTACAGATCCATTGGAGAGCAAGATGTTTAGTCCATTGAGTATAGTGCAAGCATTGTGCTATTGATCGCTGGGTGGAGGTAGCTAGAGTTTGGATGAAGGATTTCCATGTAATCAAGCATTTCTGGACCCGAGTTTGTTGTAAAGGGGCCTGCACCAATTCCAGGCAAAACAAGGAAGTTTAAAGCCACTCTGCTGTTGCCCAAAAAAAAGCCCAATGCTGATACCTGAAATAGAAGGAGTATTATACTCACCTGAAGGCCCGTGTCTTATGCATACCCTCCATTCCAGCACTACAGACTCTGTCAGACTCTTCAACTTTTAAATATCGGAGGGAACACATTCCTATGTCCCAATCAGGAACAGGATCTAAACCCAGGGCCTCTGCTGTGTCTGGTGGTTGGTTCTACCTGCTGAGCCACCTTAGAACCTTGGGGAGCTCCTTGCCTGCTCTCCTGTGTAATCCTCAGGTAAACCTAGTTTCTGCTGAACCATGAACCCCTTGCTCCTCCCTTGAACTTCCTATTTAAGCCACGCCTCTGCACTTCCTGTTTGCCAGATTATTGTGCTCCTGCCAATATCTTGCTTCCTGCCCCCCTCTGTGATACAATCCGCTCATACTGCTACCCGTGTACCGACCTTTGGCTGCTGATTCACCGACTACTCTCATCGTCTCCTGCTTCATACCTGATACCTTTGGCTACTGACCTCGGCTTGATCTCTGACTACGCTTCTGCCTGCTCCTCCTTTACTACCCTCTGCTTGTGTACCGAACTCGGCCTGTATGACTACGACTTTGCCTGCTGTTTCAGCTACTGGACTCCGAGCCTGATCCCAGATCGTGACACCCCTGATGCGTGCTGTGGTTTCATCCTCTGACCCCTTATGTCTATGCTGATCCTTTGGTGATGTAGGGGATCACTGGATGGCCCTAGACATTCCTAGAAAGGTTGAATGCTGAATAGCCCTGAATTACAACCAGTGGATTTCCTACTTCATCCGCTGCTCTCTGTCTGCTCACGGTAGACTCACTCGACACAAATTGGAGCTTTAGAGGGAACTTGCAAAGCACAAAATCACCGAGCAGGAGCCTTCAGTTCCACCCAGAATCACTGTCAAAAGTGCTAAATCTGCCTGCAATGGGTTTTATTGATCTCTGATCAAAAGCGAATTGAGTGATCGGTTGAAGGGCTTCCTGAGTGAATGCTTTTTAATTCAGCCAACTAGTTTACAATCGCTCCGTCTTCAGTGTTCAGGAAGAGATGTGTTTGGGACTTGCTGATTTGTTGTTTTTTTTGGCACAAGGCTCAGCTGTCAGTCACTCTGCAGAAATCTGGCCTAATCTCAGCTACAGAAGTGAACGTATTAGAAATAAGGATGCCCCAATAAACAGCTCAGTGGCTTCTTTTCCCTGATAATGATCCTGGAAGAGTGACGGAGGGCTGCATTTATGAAGTATGTGGGAGTAAGCTGCCTTAGGATTAGTCTGACTGTGGTGGCAGGGGCGATCATCAATTGCTGTTCATTGCAGTACGCCATGTGGTACCGGGCCCTCTGTATGGTGTGCCTTCATTGCTGATCTGAGTTGATATCTACAAACATCAGTTCATGCCCAATGTCTTCAATTTACTGTGCTATGGTCAGCGTGGGCATGGCAATGCTACAGCTATTGGAATCTGTACCTGGCAAAGTGTACAGCAAACTGAACTGGAGTTGCCAGTCCACCGTCATAGGCTGCAGCCACGAGGATGGGCAGCTGGTTAGTAATCCGTCCTACTGAATGGGAAGGTTCAGGATATTTTCAGCAATACTAAAAACTCAGACCACTGATTCCATTAGAAAAAGAAGTATTCACTGTACGGTCATGATGGCCTCCTTCGGAGTAAAGTTTGGAAGCCATGATTCTCAAAACATTTTAAAAGTACTAGGGCTGTGCAAATTAACGATTCATTTCTTGATTAATCGTTAATCTTTTTGATCGAATAAACATTTTTTTTAAGCTTTCTGCACGAGCGCCAGCCGCGGCATTGGCCTATACACATACAGATCAGCAATGAAGTAATACAATGAACTAGGATCACACTAATCCAGCACGTTATTATTCTGAGTTGCCCCACTCAATCGGCGGCCATATTGAGTGGGGCACGTGAGATTAATAACGTGCTGGATTAGTGTGATCCTAGTTCATTGTATTACTTCATTGCTGATCTGTATGTGCGTTATAATTAATCAAAATTAATCGATTTAAAAAAATTCCGATTAATCGAACACGAAAATGTTAATCATTACCAGCCCTAAAAAGTACACTTCTACCCAGCCAGTGATGTACAGGGTCAGTTAAGACCCCTGCCAGATTTTCTGCAACATGTGTCCCATTTCGGAAATTAGGGGTGCACCAATACTAGTATCGGTATCAGCGCCAATACACAGTATTCGGGCGACTACTCGTACTCGCCCAAATGTTCCGATTTCCTCTGACTGGAAGTGCCATATGGGGAACATGGAGCCAGCTTCCCGTGCGATTAGGTAGCTGGGCGGTGAGTAATTACCTACCTCCCAGGTTCCTGATTGGCCAGGAAGCCAGCTCCATGCCAGCAGAAGCACCGGTGAGTACCAAAAGCATAATGTTGGTACTTGTACCCGATACCGAAAAACCGATATCCCTATTGGAAATGTCCCTTTACTTCCTGTCCTGCACATGCAACAGAAAGGGAGACAATTCTTCTTTGAGACATCTGTCATCAGAATATAAGTGTTCCCAGGAGGACAAAGACAGAGTTCTGTAGCATCCACTACAGGCAGATTTCACACAACTTCTCACATGGGGAGTGGATGAGTTCTGTGCCATGTAGTCTCCCCTCTCCCTTCTCCAGATTCAATCTTCAAGGCACGTCTGAGAACCATTTTAGAAATCCTTGTTTTGAAATATCGGGATGTTTACCCCGTATGTCTTTCAAAGGCTGCGTGAGCCCGCTGCCGATGGATGCTGTGCAAGCTCACAATTCAGTGGCATCTAACTATAGACTGATTATTGAGTTCGCATACATGGTTTCCTTTTCCCAGATTCCTGATTAAGGGGGTGGAGGTACAGTCCCCTGAAATGCGTTGGCTTTGCAAACAATCTGTCATTTGAATAAACTTGTATTTGGACTTGGACTTCCAAAGGAACTTATGCCCACCACAAACCAAGGTGATGGTGGAAGCCCTTCAATGGGCAGAAGCCGTCAGCCCAATATCCGGATTCTATACATTTACCCTAATGTCATACAAATGAATGACAACGATAATATAAAACATAAAGAATCTCCGGGGTTCCAGTAGGTGGAAAAGGCTACAAGTTGGGCTGCAATTCTCCAGCTATTCCCTTGTTCCCTTGTGTTGGTGCCGAGATAAGAGAGATGCCACATCACCTAGCTATCATACAGTATATACTGTAGGTAGGTATGGATTTAAATATTGGTCAGAAAGGGTTTTTTTCAGGTCAGACAGTTCCTTAATATTTTCACATCTTGTCTGCAGGACATATAATGTAGATATGTGTTTATTTTGTTTCATTTGGACCAACCGGCAGCTGGAAAATAGTCATGTGACATTTTCCAGCTGCTGCACATAATCTGTATAGTGGTGGTACATGACAATAAGCAGATCAGGACAACAAAACTGAGAGCCACCGAAGATCTGCGTGATCATCCACCATCAGATGTTCTGATTTGCTGCTATTAGGTGCACCGAACCACGAGGAGAACTGATAGAGGGGTCCTTTTGATGTTGATTTCTTTGTTGTGTGTGTAATTTGCCCTCCTCCATTCACCTGCATTTTCTTCAGCGTTGTGAATCAGTCATTAAATCGTATTATATTGATGACTTGGCTTTATAGGTTAAAGCACATTGTAGGTTTGGATTTGTTGGTGACTTGGTAGCTAGTGCTGGGGCCCCGGGGGTTCAGTCTCTGCCAGGGCCAATATCTTCCCTGGAGTCTCCCATGTTGTTGTGAATTCCCTCATGTAGTTCATTAGTTTGCTCCCGCAGTCCAAAAACATTGCTTTCCACCTGCTCAATAATCCTTTTTATATACTGTTCATGAATCGGTACGTCTACATCTTTCAACCTTTGAATTGCAAATATTGTCTTTTATTCTATAGCTGAAGGCAAAACAAACTCTTCATAATCTGGCATTTCCCACCAGGAAAATTGCCAACTTTAAACAAATTCCCCTCGTTTGCTGCTCCCGAGTCACGCTACCCATAGTTTAAGGCGCCTGAAGCTTCGGCTTGAGGAAAGATAGCACTTGAAACCTTTGCATTGTATTTTGGCACAGTGTCGAGTACTCTTCCTGGAGAGACTCGCAGTCATTAATATTTTCCAAACATAGTGAAGACATACACAGGATGATATTCTATTCCACCTAAGGAAGGAATTAGTCCACATACTACTGTATGTGTATATATATATATATATGTGAGGGGTTTGTGGAGCCTGTTAATTCAGAAAAGTCTAACATCTAATAGTTTAATCGATTTGATGACATGACAGCCAGAAGACCCTCTGGATATAGGACCTGTAGTCATCACTCCCATTCTATCCATGGTAGGGTCATATATGTAGGTTAGAACAAAAATGGCAACCGCATGAATCTATAACCAGCCTTTATAGCAGGGCGCACATAGGAAGGCTTACAACAATATATTTTTTTTGATGTGGGGACGCACTGGGGGTTCCAGCGTTGCAGGCTAGCTGCAGGGATCTTTTTGTGTTTTGTATTCATATATGTAGGTTATTGCATCACAAGTCTGTTTAAACCAGAAAACTAATATTTAAAATTGTGTCTTCAGGTTTATTTCAAGCGGGACGGGGAATTGATAGAAGTCATTCCCATGTTGGAGCCGCCACCTGCCGCTGCTGGACTGATGAATAACCGGGGCTCCCGGAACCTCCTAAACCGAGACATGGATGATACTAAAATGCAAAAATCCCTTTTACTTTTGGACACGGAGGAACGGGGACCGAACACTTTCACGGAGATCCCACTCCGCGGACGCAGCTCTGACCAAGGGCCCATGTCCAGCCCGGTGACCGAGGCCATTCCAGAGACAGTGGTCAGCTTGGAGTTCCCACGTTGGGTCCACAGTACAGACCCTACTTATTTCTTCCACCAAATGCATCTTCCAATGAGCGATGGGACAGTGGAGGTCCGAGCTATGCTCACGTGGACCCTAAACCCGCAAGTAGACAATGAAGCACTCTTCAGCTGTGAGGTCAAGCACCCGGCACTGACCATGCCCATGCAGTCGGAGGTCACATTAGGTAAGTGGCACAATATGGTTTCTTTGTTTTTCAGAAAATGTCTTGATGCGTGTAGAATATTCTAAATACCTTCCCCAAGTTCTTCTATATACACACACATATGCATTTCAAACCAAGCTGGTTTTTGTGCCTCTTGTATGAGATCCCTTCAACCATAATTTGTAGCCATTATGAGTCAAGCAATAGTCTTTTTTGACACCTTTCTTTATAAAGCTTGTGGTGGGAGTTGGAAACCTGGACATCTCACAGCAGGGGTGGAACCTATCACTATGGCCTCCAGGAAACTTACTCCACTAAGGGTCCCCCCGAACAGGCTGTTTAGGGAAGCCCAGTATGGTGTAAGGTGCCCATCGCCTCGCTTCAAAATGGCCTCACCACTTGGGTGGAACTGGAAGTTCTAGTGGAGCTGTAACTAGATAGAGATGCATGAAGCCACCATTGGTTCCAACTTTGCCAGCAAACATGATGATAAACAATGTGAACTTTGCCTCCACTTGCTTGATTCTTGCATTTGAATATCTTTTGTATCCGACCCTCCAATCGTAATATAACAGAAAGTACATACTGAATGCATTTCCTTCATGTGTCACAGACAAGCACACTAGTCGGGTTACTGGGTTGCTGCAAATAACTTTACACCCCAAAACAATTCCAGGTGATGTGATTCTTTAGGTGGATTTCGATCAATCTGGAGTTGTTCTTAGAACACCCAAAGAAAGTCACGTGATGCTTGAAAGCAGTGGTTCACAACCTGTGGGTCGCAACCCATTGTTGAGTGGGTCGCCGCGTCCATTTCTGCTGCGCTGGGTGAGAGCCTCCTTCTTGCGCAGCAGTGTCAGTCAGCGGGGAGGACAGCAACGGCTGTGAATATAAAAGTGCCGCTGTACACACTCCCTGGCCGCTGCAGCGACATCTAGTAGCCGGAGAGAGTTTACAGCAGGACTTTTCTATTCACGGCCGTTGCTGTCCTCCTGCCTCCCATACAGTGCGGACTCTGCAGGAGGCGCGTATCTTAGCAGTGCTTGGGCTGAGAAGGCTGCATGGAGACAGAGCAGGTAGCAGGGGCTGGGGAGGGCTTCCATTCTTGTGAGTGTGCTTCTATTTTTTTTTCTAAGTCCAGTGCCTTACTAAGTCCCGAGTCCAGTGCCTTACTAAGTCCCGAGTCCAGTGCCTTACTAAGTCCCGAGTCCAGTGCCTTACTAAGTCCCGAGTCCAGTGCCTTACTAAGTCCCGAGTCCAGTGCCTTACTAAGTCCCGAGTCCAGTGCCTTACTAAGTCCCGAGTCCAGTGCCTTACTAAGTCCCGAGTCCAGTGCATTACCAAGTCCTAAGTCCAGTGCCTTACTAAGTCCCGAGTCCAGTGCCTTACTAAGTCCCGAGTCCAGTGCCTTACTAAGTCCCGAGTCCAGTGCCTTACTAAGTCCCGAGTCCAGTGCCTTACTAAGTCCCGAGTCCAGTGCCTTGCTAAGTCCCGAGTCCAGTGCCTTGCTAATTCCCGAGTCCAGTGCCATACTAAGTCCCGAGTCCAGTGCAATACTAAGTCCCGAGTCCAGTGCAATACTAAGTTCCGAGTCCAGTGCCTTACTAATTCCTGAGTCCAGTGCATTACCAAGTCCTGAGTCCAGTGCAATACCAAGTCCTGAGTCCAGTGCATTACCAAGTCCTTAGTCCAGTGCATTACCAAGTCCTGAGTCCAGTCAGTTACTAAGTCCTGAGTCCAGTGCTCTGTTGGGGGTCACCACAACTTGGATAAATGTTACCAAGGGGTCCCGGCCCTAGAAAGGTTGAGAACCACTGGTATAAAGTATCAGTGAGTGAGGCCGTTGTTTAAGAGACCTCCATTGATTTCCCGGAGGGGGGGAGAGGGGAACTGCCTGAAGTCTCCCAGCTTATAACCGCATTCCAGTAAAGTGAATGCAGGCGGAGAAACATGGAGATATCAAATAAATCATGCTGAATGTGAAACATACAATGATTAGATTCCAGGGAATCAGACATTCGGGCTTATGTATGAAGGCATTACAAATAGCATCAGTGACGTGCAATGTATACTGAACAACCAGCCTGATTCTGGCGTCATTTAAACTTAGAGATCTCTGTGACTATCTACCACGGATACCTGCATATGGCTGCACAGGTCTCCATCCTGTGGGAGGCGCACAAAGCTGAATGTATTCCATGTTTTATCCAATTACCCTTCATTATTACAGATACAGGAGGCATGCTTTTAGAAAACACTTATGATAAATTTGAGCAGCTGCTTCCTCACTCCTCCAGCTGAGACTAACAGCCTACCGCAGAAGCCGGTAGTCAATTGTGTTCCCTGATAGAAAGGCTTCGCATAGACCACTTTGCAGACATCCCACCACTTAACATGCGTCGTGAGGAGCCTTTTACCAAGGAAGCACCCCCATTGAACACTGACAATTATTTTCTTCTGGATGTTGGTGTACAGCTGGGTGATGTGGGCACCCTAGCATGGCAACAATACATCACGCTGGGCACCATAGCATGGCAGCAATACATCACGCCGGGCACCATAGCATGGCAGCAATACATCACGCTGGGCACCATAGCATGGCAGCAATACATCACGCTGGGCACCATAGCATGGCAACAATACATCACGCTGGGCACCATAGCATGGCAACAATACATCACGCTGGGCACCATAGCATGGCAACAATGCATTATACTCCAAAGTGTACAGGGCTGCTTTTCTTGTTGTTAGAGTGCAAGTCCAGTCAAAATGGTCCCATTAGTTTAAGATGGAGTGGAGAAAGTTCAGGACCCCTTTCTGGTTCTTGCTGCTATTCGGGACTCCATTAGAATGATTTACATTCACTTCCTGTCTTGCTGGCAATGGTTTTTCCAGACAGGAAGTGAGGGGAACTCTGCAACAGGAATACAGAAGTAAAGATCGTAACAGGGGTTTGGCCTTCTTTACTAAAGAAAAGCATTTTAATTTCTCTGTGTTGCTGTTGCAGAGCTCCCCTCACTTCATGTCCAGCTGACCTTTTCCCAGACAGGAAGTGAGGTGGAACGCTGCAACAGGAACACAGACAGAAGTAAGAATCTAAGAGAAGCCTGGCCTTCTTTACTAAAGAAAAGCATTTTTATTTCCCTGTGTTGCTGTTGCAGAGTTCCCCCCTCACTTCCTGTCTGGTAAAAGGTCAGCAGGACAGGAAGTGAGGGGAAATCTGCAACAGCAACACAGGGGAAATTAAAATGCTTTTCATTAGTAAAGAAGACCAGACTTCTTAGATTTTTACTTCTGTCTGTATGCTTGTTGCAGCGTTCCACCTCACTTCCTGTCTGGGAAGTGAGGGGAACTCTGCAACAGGAATACAGACAGAAGTAAAAAAAAAATCTTGATTTCCCTTTGTTGCTGTTGCAGAGTTCCCCTTACTTCCTGTCTGGTAAAAGGTCAGCAGGACAAGAAGTGAAGGGAACTTTGCAACAGCAACATACAGGTGAAACTCGAATAATTAGAATATGGTGCAAAGTTCATTTATTTCACTAATGCAACTTATGCGGTGAAACTAATATATGAGAGAGACTCATTACATGCAAAGCAAGATAATTCAAGCCGTGATTTGTCATCATTGTGATGATTATGGCTTACAGCTCATGAAAACCCCAAGAACCCCAAATCCACAACCTCAAAAAAGTAGATTATTACATGCAATCAATAAAACACGGATTGTACATAGAACAATATCGGACCTCTGAAAAGTACAAGCATGCATATGTACTCAGTACTTGGTTTGGGCCCCTTTTGCAGAACTTACTGCAATTACTTTTGCACGATATTCTAATTATTCGAGTTTCACCTGTAGAGAGATGAAAATGCTTTTCTTTAGTGAAGAAGGACAAACGTCTTAGATTTTTACTTCTGTCTGTATTCCTGTTGCAGATTTCCCTTCACTTCCGGTCTGGTAAAACCATCGCCAGCAAGACAGGAAGTGAACATACAGGTGAAACTCGAATAATTAGAATATCGTGCAAAAGTAGTTGCAGTAAGTGCTGCAAAAGGGGCCCAAACCAAGTACTGAGTACATATGCATGCTTGTACTTTTCAGAGGTGCGATATTGTTCTATGTACAATCCTTGTTTTATTGATTGCATGTAATAATCTACTTTTTTGAGGTTGTGGATTTGGGGTTCTTGGGGTTTTCATGAGCTGTAAGCCATAATCATCACAATGATGACAAATCACGGCTTGAATTATCTTGCTTTGCATGTAATGAGTCTCTCTCATATATTAGTTTCACCGCATAAGTTGCATTAGTGAAATAAATGAACTTTGCACGATATTCTAATTATTCGAGTTTCACCTGTAAATCACTCTAATGTGCGAGTCCTGAAGAACCAGACAGGAGATGTAATCCTTCCCCCACTCTGATCCAAAACCAGATAAAGTTGTTGGTTTGATCTACACTTTAATTGTTACAAGAAGAAGAAACGTTGATTTCTGTTGCAGATTTCCCTTCACTTCCTGTCTGGTAAAACCATCGCCAGCAAGACAGGAAGTGAACGTAAATAATTCTAATGGAGTCCTGAATACCAGTGAGAACCAGACAGGAGTTCTAATCCTTCCCCACTCTGATGCAAAACTAGATAAAAAGTTTTTGGTTTGACCTACACTTTAATTGTTACAAGAAGAAGAATCGCCGATTGCGGCTTTTTCTTGTTAATCCTGTACTACGATTCTGCACAGGGTGACACCAATTCTAAAGTCAGCCGTTCAGAATACTTCTCTCTGTGGCTTGCACTGCGCCTTATTAAATGATTCTAATAAATGTATAACTCGAATGATGAATAAAGCTACAATGTTCTCCATTACCTTATGAAAATTCTCTGACCTTGAATGGGGTAATCTAATGCGGATCCTGAATCGCAGTGACTGCCGCGCGTCTCCGTTAATGCTGCATAAAGTGTAATGCAATATACCGGTGTTACCTGGAGCCAGCAGAACGCGGCAATTACTTGCTGCATTGT